CTTGTGGGATCAACCCTTACTCATGCTATATACTGGTTAATAATTAGGAGTAAGGTATATTAATTTTTTAGTGTTAAGGACACGCTGTCAAGGTCTACTAGAGACCGACGTCCTTCCACACAATATTCTGTAGATGAGTATGTGTTATTGACTGATGAGGGAGAGCCCTAATGTTAGGCATAAGCAATGGAAGATGAAAACAAGGCATATTGGGTTGATGCTATGGAAGATGAGATACAGTCATTGTATGACAATCACACCTTTGAGTTGGTAAAGTTGCCTAAGGGTAAGAGAGCCTTGAAAAACAAGTGGGTCTATAGAGTGAAACAAGAAGAACATACTTCACAACCACGATACAAAGCCAAATTGTCATACAATGACTGTATCTCATCTTCCATAGCATCAAGATATAGTTGTGGCAAGAAATGATATGGCAAAGCAAAGCTCTTCTACAGATAGTCAAAATGAGAGAATGGAAAGAGTTCCTTATGCTTCAGTTGTAGGAAGCTTGATGTATGCAATGGTGTGTACGAGACCAGATATAGCTTATGCAGTTGGAGTTGTTAGCATATTTCTATCAAGTTCGGGGAAAGAGCGCTAGAATGGAGTGAAGAGGATTATTAGGTATCTTTGAGTCACTTGCAAGTTAAAACTTTGCTTTGGAAGTGGTAAACCAATTTTGGTTGGCTACACAAGTGCTAACATGGCTAAAGACATGAATTATCTTAAGTCTACTTCTGGTTATCTGATTACCTTTGCTAGTGGAGTTGTTTCTTGGCAGTCAAGATTGCAAAAGTGTGTTGCACTTTCTATGACAGGAGTAGAATTTATCACGACAACAAAAGCTTGCAAGGAGTTGCTATGGATGAAGAAGTTCATGAGAGAGCTTTGTTTTAAGCAACAAAGGTATGTTTTGTTTTGTGACAACCAAAGTGATATTCATCTTGTGAAGAATTCTACATTCCATTCAATATCTAAACATATTGATGTTAGGTATCATTGGATAAGGGATACTCTTTACGATGGCTCGTTTGAACTTGAGAAAAATCATACAAATGATAGTGGCTTGGATATGTTGACAAAGGCTTTAGCAAGAAAGAAGATTGAAGTTTGTCGACTATCGCCGGTATGGTCCATTCCCCCACATAGCCCCACATAGTCGAGAAAAGGGGAGATTTGTTGAACTCGAGTTTCCTCATGTGGAGGATGGCCTAAAACCCGAAAGCCCAAAATAAAATTGAAAAGGAAGAGAGAGAGAGAGAGAGAGAGAGAGAGAGAGAGCAACATCAGCAGGTGGTCACTCATTTTTGGAGTGGGTGAATAGTGAGAAAATAGGGTACTATTCACAAAAACAAAAGCAACAAACATGAGAGATAGATAGCCACACCAGGTTATTCCAGTGACGATCCAACAGTGAATCTTGCTCCGTTTTTGCTCAAATTTCTAAGCATTGTTTTGGATTGCAAGATCTTCACATCCAACAGTCAATTTCCATTTTTGTGGAGTTTTGCCTCTAGAAAGACAATCAAATCAAAGAGTTTGAGTTATGATAGAACTCTAAATTTGTGTGGAATATTTTTAGTGGATTGTGGTTGTTCTAAACACTTCTTATTATAGTGGATTTAAGTGGATCGTTAGATCCCATTGTTTTTTAGTCTCCAGATTGAAGAGATTTTTTCACGTAAATTGCTTGTTTTCCTTGCAATGTTTTAAAACCCAACCCGGGGTGAAACCCGGCAAAGTTTTTGGGTCCTGGGTTGACCGGTTGACAAAAAATTTTAAAACTCAACAAATACACCCCTGAAAATTACCTTCAAGTCCTACATGTTTGAACTTTCTCAAACACACCCCAACTGAAAATCGACTGGCGACTGATCGGCAACAGTGACACCCCAGATGCAACCCCAGTCTTCCCCTGAGCCTATTTTCATTAAAATCTACCCAAGATCTGGCCGAAATAGGTTCGATTTCGGCTAGATCTCACCGACACCGGCGTGGGTATTCCAGGCCAGATCTCATCCACGTCGGCGCCTACAAACCTCCCCATCACTCAGGAATTACTCCCCTATTCCTCCCGACCAAAACCCACCTCACCCCACCCCACCCCCATTAGCCTAGCCAATAGCCGGAAAAGCCCCATTGTTGCCGCTGCCAAGTTTCTTCGATTTTTGATCGATTTACTCACCGAAAATCAACGACGCCACCACCATTGTATTCACCGGACCTTAGTCTTCAAAAGCCCTAACCTTCTGACTGTTGATTGTTCACCGATCATCCTCCCAAATCTTAGGGTTTGGGGGTGAATCGAAAATGTTAAACCCGACCTGTTGAAGCTGCCGGGTCCTGGTTAAACCAGTTCAACCTACCAGGCCAGGCCGGGTTTTAAAACAATGGTTCCTTGTGAATTTGATTATTGTTTTCAAGCATATTTGCTCAAGGTTTTGCTCCTGATAGATTCATTCAAGTAATAAAGATTTTTATTAGAGGTTTTTGTTAGTGCATTCTTTCCTTTCACCATTAGGTTTTGAGTGGGAGTGTTACCCAATCGTAGACCCTAAAATTACCAAAATGCCTTTATTAATCAAAATTTGGAGAATCATGTTCAACACTAACCCACCTACACCATCCCCAGGCGACGACAACCTACAGTAAGGCTGTCACTTCGGCCTAAGGAAGAGCTTGGATTGATGGATTCTCTCAAACGAGGCCTTGGGGTTTAGGAATTGTATTTACAATGAGCGAATTGTTTGTTAGTTTATTTAATCATTATTATAAATAACACTATGAAAACTCAACTCCCTTCACATCATTGTTTTAAAACCCGGCCCGGCCCGACCGGTTGAACCGGTTTAACCAGGACCCGACAGCTTCAACGGGTCGGGTTTAACTTTTTCGATTCACCCCCAAACCCTAAGACTTGAGAGGATGATCGGCAAACAATCGATGGTCAAAAGGTTAGGGCTTTTGAAGACTAAGGTCCGGTGAATACAATGGTGGTGGCGTCGTTGATTTCCGGTGAGTAAATCAACCGGAAATCGAAGAAACTTGGCAGTGGCAACAATGGGACTTTTCTGGCGATTGGCTAGGCTAACAGGGGTGGGGTGAGGTGGGTTTTGGTTGGGAGTAATTCCTGAGTGATGGGGAGGTTTGTAGGCGCCGGCGTGGATGAGATCTGGCCTGGAATACCTACGCCAACGTCGGTGAGATCTTGCCAAAATCGAACCTATTTCGGTCAGATCTTGGGTAGATTTTAATGGAAATAGGCTCAGGGGAAGATTGGGGTTGCATCTGGGGTGTCGTTGTTGCCAATCAGTCGCCAATCGATTTTCAGTTGGGGTGTGTTTGAGAAAGTTCAAACATGTAGGATTTGAAGGTAATTTTCAGGGGTGTATTTGTTGAGTTTTAAAATTTTTTGTCAACCGGTCAACCCGGGACCCGAAAACTTTGCTGGGTTTCACCCCGAGTTGGGTTTTAAAACATTGCTTCACATGCATGCAAAGGATTCAATGAAACGCCTCAGAAAGAAATAACACTATCCTTGGTTAATATTGCTTGAGATTAACTATTTTTTATCCAGTCAAATCCAAATCCAAATCCAGCAAATTAATTCAACTCATTATGACATGCCAAACACATCTAAGTTATCCTTGGTTAATATCCCTTGAGATTATCAAACTTGAGTTTTTATGAAAATCCGATGCGTTGGTGGGTTTGGTTCAGAGAATATTATATTACTGGAAATGTTATATTAATAGAAAAATATATTACTTTGAAGACTACTGAACAGCTAAAAGTATTGACTGATAGTTAATTGTTGACACCATATTTGTTACCTTTCAATCTATTTAGGGTGCGTTTGTTTCACGGAATTCTTTATCCTTGAAAAAATAGGATTACTATTGAAATAAATTACCTTGATTAATGAAGGAATGTTATACTAATAAGTTTGGTTAAATTGTTGAGCATAAATAATTAATATGTTTGATTGGGAAGAATAAAATATTATCGAGAAGTTTTTACTAAATTGCCCTTGTTAATATTATTATTATTTAGAATATTTTTTTAAACCCCTACATTTGAGAATTTAGCTAAAACACCCCAACAACAAAAGTTTAAAATTTAACAAAATACAACCAACCAACCAAAACGACTGTCAGCTGCCAACCACCATCGTCGGTCACCATCAACAGTCGTCAGGACGACGCACAACCACTAGATCTGACCGACCGTGCATCGATTTGGCTGGAAGGCTGAAAACGGTCAAATAGCCATGGATCTAGCCGGAAAGCTAGATCCATTCTGGCCATTAACGACCAAATCTGTGGCCCTTTATAGCCATGGATTTGGTCGTTTTCGGCCAGATCCATGGCCATCTAGCCATTTTCGACCTTTGATCTGGCCGAAAATGGCTTGATCAGCACACAGCCAGCCAGATTCGGCTGGTCGTGAGCAGTTCCGACAACTTCCAGTGACTGCACCAACGACCGACAGTTGTCTTGGGTGGCTAGGGGTATTTTAGGTATTATCAATGTAAATAGTGAGTGTATTTCTATCTAAAAAAATTATATATGAAGTTAAAGAAGTTATTTCGCACATTTGGGCTAATTATTATTTAGTAGACATATGAGGGCATTTGTGTCCAAAATGTTTATTAATTAAGGGTAAAATTGGTATGAACAATTGATTACTCCGATAATGAAAAAATAACACCGTCCTAGACAGTAATCAAATTACCTTTATTTTTACCTACAATAATCACTATTGGCATTAAAAGTTTATTGTAATCTTTCATTACTTCAAATGTAGTTTTTTTTTTTTTTTTTTGTTTTTAATTGATAGGTAATCAAACATTTTTCCTATTCAATTAAGTTTTGACATTTTTTAATTGGCATGAGTGGGAGATGTGATGATTTGGTAAAACCTCAAGGGACGTAAGTGATATTTTTACCATACATATAGGGAGACTTAATAATTATCCTTCCTTTTAAACAGAAAAGCAAGGCATCTTCAATTCCGAACGCAGCCAAAAAGTCGTTCCCAACCCCAATTCTACAGTTCACACGAAACTCCATCACATTCCTAATCCCATTCCATCGAACGCTTGGAGAGCAAAACCCAATTGTCTCGCTCACTCGCCATTAATGGAGGATTTCCAAGCGCTTCCCCACTACTGGGGCAGCACTCCCGAGGAAGAATATTACCGTCAACAAGGAATCAAATCAACAAGCTCATATTTCACTTCACCAAGAGGCTTATCTCTGTTTACCCGATCATGGTTACCCACCAACACCCCTCCACGCGGCCTCCTCTGTATGGTCCATGGATACGGCAATGACATGAGCTGGACTTTTCAAGCCACATCAATCTTTCTTGCCCAGATGGGTTTCGCTTGTTTTGCTCTTGACATTGAAGGCCATGGCAGATCTCAAGGTATAAGGGCTTATGTACCAAATGTTGATCTTGTTGTTCAAGATTGTTTGTCTTTCTTTAACTCTGTTAAACAAGATCCTTCCTTTAATGGGTTAACTCGTTTTTTATATGGAGAATCAATGGGTGGTGCTATTTGTCTTTTGATCCATTTCGCTGATCCTGAAGGTTTTGATGGAGCAATTTTGGTTGCACCCATGTGTAAAATTTCTGACAAAGTAAAACCCAGATGGCCCATACCTCAAATCCTCACTTTTCTTGGAAAATTTTTACCTACTTTAGCGATTGTGCCTACTGAAGATCTTATGTACAAGTCTGTTAAGGTGGAAGAGAAAAAAGTTATAGCGAATAGTAATCCTTTTAGGTATAGGGGGAAACCAAGATTGGGTACTGTTCTTGAACTACTGAGGGTTACTGATTATTTGAGTGGAAGATTGTGTGATGTGAGTATTCCCTTCATTGTGTTACATGGAAGTGCTGATGTTGTGACTGATCCGAGTGTGAGTAGAGCTTTGTATGAAGAGGCAAAGAGTGAAGACAAGACGATAAAGATTTATGATGGGATGATGCACTCGTTGCTGTTTGGTGAGACAGATGAGAATGTTGAAATTGTTCGGCGTGATATTTTGTCTTGGTTGAATGGGAGGTGCGAAGAAAGAGCTTAATGAGTTCATTGAGTTGGTGATGAATTGTTGCGGCTTGATTATNTGGGAGATGTGATGATTTGGTAAAACCTCAAGGGACGTAAGTGATATTTTTACCATACATATAGGGAGACTTAATAATTATCCTTCCTTTTAAACAGAAAAGCAAGGCATCTTCACGTCCGAACGCAGCCAAAAAGTCGTTCCCAACCCCAATTCTACAGTTCACACGAAACTCCATCACATTCCTAATCCCATTCCATCAAACGCTTGGAGAGCAAAACCCAATTCTCTCGCTCACTCGCCATTAATGGAGGATTTCCAAGCGCTTCCCCACTACTGGGGCAGCACTCCCGAGGAAGAATATTACCGTCGACAAGGAATCAAATCAACAAGCTCATACTTCACTTCACCAAGAGGCTTATCTCTCTTTACCCGATCATGGTTACCCACCAACACCCCTCCACGCGGCCTCCTCTGTATGGTCCATGGATACGGCAATGACATGAGCTGGACTTTTCAAGCCACATCAATCTTGCTTGCCCAGATGGGTTTCGCTTGTTTTGCTCTTGACATTGAAGGCCATGGCAGATCTCAAGGTATAAGGGCTTATGTACCAAATGTTGATCTTGTTGTTCAAGATTGTTTGTCTTTCTTTAACTCTGTTAAACAAGATCCTTCCTTTAATGGGTTATCTCGTTTTTTATATGGAGAATCAATGGGTGGTGCTATTTGTCTTTTGATCCATTTCGTTGATCCTTAAGGTTTTGATGGAGCAATTTTGGTTGCACCCATGTGTAAAATTTCTGACAAAGTAAAACCCAGATGGCCCATACCTCAAATCCTCACTTTTCTTGGAAAAATTTTACCTACTTTAGCGATTGTGCCTACTGAAGATCTTATGTACAAGTCTGTTAAGGTGGAAGAGAAAAAAGTTATAGCGAATAGTAATCCTTTGAGGTATAGGGGGAAACCAAGATTGGGCACTGTTCTTGAACTACTGAGGGTTACTGATTATTTGAGTGGAAGATTGTGTGATGTGAGTATTCCCTTCATTGTGTTACATGGAAGTGCTGATGTTGTGACTGATCCGAGTGTGAGTAGAGCTTTGTCTGAAGAGGCAAAGAGTGAAGACAAAACGATAAAGATTTATGATGGGATGATGCACTCGTTGCTGTTTGGTGAGACAGATGAGAATGTTGAAATTGTTCGGCGTGATATTTTGTCTTGGTTGAATGGGAGGTGCGAAGAAAGAGCTTAATGAGTTCATTGAGTTGGTGATGAATTGTTGCGGCTTGATTATTGAGCTGTCTGCTTTGTTCTAGAATTGTTTACTTATCTGTGTGGTTGTGATTGGGGAATTAAAATATGAAAAAAAAAAAAAATCTGCGAATTTTGATGTTAAATATCTAACTTTGTTATATTGATCGATTGAAACTCAGTGAGAAGGTACCTGTACGGCTGTACCTCTATGGCTGTTGAATATGAATCCAAAAATTTCCTCTTTTCTGATTGTGTTGCTTACGAATTTAGATATTCAAAATTCTTTGCATTCAAAGAAACAGGAAGAAAACTTACAGGCAATGAAATTGGAAAAAAAAAAATATATATAGAGGTCCCACCGAGATTTGAACTCAGTTTACTTGATTCAGAGTCCAATGTCCTAACCACTAGACCATGGGGCTTCCTTGGTTGTAGCAACAGCACTTATTTTCACAGGCCACAACATGTGGTTATTTTGGCATAGGACCAGCATGCGAAACAAGGCATTGTTTGGTATTATGTTTCAGTAGAGACCAAAGCTATTTCTTATCTTATGTTTTAGTACAGAACGTAACAGATGCATTTTAGCCAGGCCGTAACCACAGAAAACAAATAGAGATAATTGAATTCAACCAAGACAACTATCGCAGCATTGTTTCGCTGTAATGTCATTATTTGCTATATTTAACCAGATCCAGATGGTTCCAGTAATCTATCCAAAAGATGAACCCAAATCCCCTCCATCCATAACTGGCATCTTAATAAAGATAACTTTAACACCAAACCGTGGAAATTGAAAGGATACAAAAAATGACAATACTTAATAGTAGCAAGGACAAGTTTAACATAACAAAAGAACTACTGTCATTCAACTCTCAGATAAAAACTAAAAAGTAAACAATAATGCACTAATATAACCAATTTTTACCAAAGGTCTAAATTTGGTCATTTCTGTAACAGAAAGGGAGCAACAACAAAAATATATTGAAAAACTAAAAACAAAGGAAAAGAAAGAAACCCTATATCATTTACACTTTAAAAGAAAGAATATCCATCTGTAATTTTACTAACTATATACTACTATTGACCTTCACATACTATACAAAGTGATGGGAGGTAAGAAGAGGGAGAAAGATCAATTGTTAGGAAAAAAACAAAAAAAATTAAGACAAGAAAAAGAATCATGTGAATCTTTTCATGACTATTGGCATAACCTTCTATAAAGTGCTTCCTAAAGTGCTTCCTTCCCCTACTACTTTTCTTTCAGAAACCTTAGTGAGGCTATGTTGATTCACTAAGGAGCTGCCACTGTAACAACTGCAGATTCCGAACAAGAACCTATAGAACTGTATATGGGTTAGCAAAATGGTATCTGCCAAACCTGGTTAACTCCTAATCACACCATAAACAAGTAATTTAAGTCATCCACTGTAAGGCGAGTCTGTTGACCACCAGCTTCATCCTCTCCAAATGCTGATGCAACCATCTCTCTCTTCTTTCGCTGCAATAGAACCAAGAATTTCTTTGTAAACAAAATTTTCGAAACAAGAATTTATATCTATTAAACAAAAGAAACAAATTTTCAGGATTCTGTCAACAGCAAAAGAAACAATCACAACATATCATACTTCAGTTTGTTATGCAAGCCATGTCAATTATATACAATATATGCTCAGCTTCCCAGACAACATTTTGAAATATGATTGGAATCACAACTGCCCGAACAACATTTTGAAATATGATTGGAATCACAACTGCCCGAACAACATTTGGAAATATGATTGGAATCACAAATTGCTTTTAACTTGTTTTACAACATATCTCATTTTAACCAATCAAACCAACAACTAACTCAAGAATGTCAAATCAAGGCATCAAGTATTTCATCTAATATACTAATGACTTTCACTATTTAACTTTTTGGGATACTAATAATAGTATTCCAAAAACGAACCAAACGAAGCCTTCATTGTTGACACCTATTTGTTACCTTTCATCTATTAGGGTGCATTTGTTCATGGAATTCTTTATCATGAAAAATAGGATTACTATTGAGATAAACCTTGAAGATTAATGAGGTGTTATACTAATAAGTTTGGTTAAATTGGTGAGCATAATAATTAATATGTTTGATTGGGAAGAATAAAATATATCAAGAAGTTTTTACTAAATTGCCCTTCCTTGTTATATATTATTATTTAGAATATTTTTTTAACCCCCTACATTCTAAACACCCCACAACAAAAGTTTAAATAAAAAAAAATAAAAACAGCCAACCCCACCCCCAAAACGATTGTTGGCTGCCAACCACCACCATCGTCGCCGTCGATAGTCGTCAGGACTGCGCACAACCACTAATTTGGCCAACCATGCGTCGATCTGGCTGGAAGCCGAAAACGGTCATATAGCCATGGATCTAGCCGGAAAGCCAGATCCATTCTGGCCATTAACGGCCAAATCTGTGGCCCTTTACAGCCACGAATTTGGTCATTTTCGGCCAGATCCATGGCCATCTAGCCATTTTCGACCTTCAATCTGACCGAAACGGCTTGATCAGCACCGGCTAGCCAGATTCGACTGGTCGTGCCCGTTCCGACAACTTCCAGCGACTGCCACCAAAGGCCGACAATTGTCTTAGTGGCTAGGGGTATTTTAGGTATTATCCATGCAAATAGTGAGGGTATTTCTATCTAAAAAAAAAATATATGAGGTTAAATAAGTCATTTCGCACATTTGGGCTAATTGTTATTTAGTAGACATATGAAGGCATTTGTGTCCAAACTTTATTAATTAAGGGTAAAATTCATATGACAATTGATTACTCCGATAATGAAAAAATAACACCGTCCTAGACAGTAATCAACTTACCTTCATTTTTACCTACAGTCACACTATTGACATTAAAAGTTTACTGTAATCTTTCATTACTTCGGTAGCATTTGGTTCAGGAATGTTATATTATTGAGGAATGTTGTTTACTGGAAAGATAGATTACTAGGGAATCTTTAGAGAAATGTGTTTGGTCGATTGGAATAAATTGATGGTTATGTTATAACATATGTTTGGTTGCGATGATAATGAGTGGGTATGTTTATGATTACTAAATTGCCCTCATTTTAAAATATATTATATTTTTTTATTATATTTTATTCTATTATTTTTAAATTGTTTCTTTTAACCCCCCTATATTGAAATTTTACCAAAACACCCCAACCATATACAACTTTAATTTGTAGCAAAGTCACTCCCACTCACCCCAACCCACCGCCGGTAGCCACCACCACCACCACCACCACCGGAAGCCGCTGTAATGGCGCACGACCAGCTGATCTAACTGGTCGTACGCCGATCAGGCCTAATCCGGCCAGATCTGGCCGTGAATACGGTCGTTTCACGACTAGATTTGGCCGTTAATATGGCCTTTCACGGCCAAAGATGTGGCCGTGAAACGCCATAGATCTGGCCTGAAAAGGCCAAATCTTTGGCCGTGAACGGCGACCGTTTCACTGCCAAAGATCTGGCCTTTTCACGGCCAGATCTATGGCGTTTCACGCGAGATCTGGTCGTTTCCAGCCATGATCACAAATCCATGGTCAAAATGTCCTTATCGGCACACGACCGGCAAGATCCTACCGTTCTTGTGCCGATATGATGACTTTCGCCGGTGGCCAGCGGTGGTCTTGGTGATTAGGGGTATTTGTTAATTTTTAAACTTTTTTGTGACGGGGGTGTTTTAGCTGTTCTCAAATGTAGGGGGTCTGCGTAATTTTTATTTGGTAACATAGGGGCAAATGTGTCCGGAAGTAAAATATTAAGGGCAAAATAGGGTAAAAATTATGATTACCCCGTAATCTAACATTAACACCCCCTGGAAAGGTAATCTGATTACCCCCAATATTACCAATAGTAACCACTATTTGTAATAAATATTACTGTATATTTATTACTTGACAACCAACGAGGGAATCTTGAAAATTAAACAAAGATTCAGGATTTACTTATTTCACCCCGAACCAAACGCACCCAAAATGTAGTTTTTTTTTTTAATTGAAGGTAATCAAACATTTTTCCTATTCAATTAAGTTTTGACATTTGTTATTGGCATGAGTGGGAGATGTGATGACTTCGTCAACCTCAAGGATGTGGAGTGATATTTTACCATACATATAGGGTTCTCATTATTTTTTGAGCCATAGGGAGGCTTATTATCCTTCCTTTTAAACAGAAAAGCAAGGCATCTTCACGTCCGAACGCAGCCAAAAAGTCGTTCCCAACCCCAATTCTACGTTCCCACGAAACTCCATCACATTCCTAATCCCATTCCATCAAACGCTTGGAGAGCAAAACCCAATTCTCTCGCTCACTCGCCATTAATGGAGGATTTCCAAGCGCTTCCCCACTACTGGGGCAGCACTCCCGAGGAAGAATATACCGTCGACAGGAATCAAATCAACAAGCTCATACTTCACTTCACCAAGAGGCTTATCTCTCTTTACCCGATCATGGTTACCCACCAACACCCTCCACGCGGCCTCCTCTGTATGGTCCATGGATACGGCAATGACATGAGCTGGACTTTTCAAGCCACATCAATCTTGCTTGCCCAGATGGGTTTCGCTGTTTGCTCTTGACATTGAAGGCCATGGCAGATCTCAAGGTATAAGGCTTATGTACCAAATGTTGATCTTGTTGTTCAAGATTGTTTGTCTTTCTTTAACTCGGTTGTGTAAGAAAATATACATGTAGATGAGTATAGAATAATGGGCCTATATCTAATTTTTCTTTATAAACAAATCTTTACATAATATAATACGGTCACAAAATAACAACTAGACAGTGTTGCCAAACCCTTCTGCTTCTTGACATTCCAAACGACCGCATCTCACCTACTACTTGCAAAAACATTGAAAACAACTGGGTGAGCACTAATGGCTCAGTAAGTAAACCCGCTATGCTCCTCTTCTCTCTTCGTTGCTCATATTCTGATTTTCTTTCCTTACATCACACTTCTCTATTCTTCTCTATTCTTTCTATGTTTTTTCTCAATTTCTAATTTCTCACTACTCGTGATAGTAGGCATGGTATCATGCATAGGTATGATGCAAATGCACAAATGCATAGGATGTGCATTTTCTTTTCTGTTTTTCTATTTTTCTTATTCTGTTTTTTGTTTCTTTTCTCTGTATTTCTTTCTATGCTTCCTTTCTTTCTATTTTTTCTTTTCTTTTCTAGTCTTTCTTTTCTTTTCTAGTCTTTCTTTCTATTCGTTCTTTCTTTCTATTCTTTTCTTTCTATTCTTTCTTTCTTTCTTTCTATTCTTTTTTTCTTTCTATTCTTTTCTTTCTATTCTTTCTTTCTATTCTTTCTTTTCTTTTCTTTCTTTCTTGCCGATCGGACTCGGTTGAGGCATGGATTTGGAACCCTGGTCGTGTGAGTGTATTCTCTAATTCTGGGTACAGTCCGCATCCACATGCACTTCTAACGGACTATACAATTCTTCTTTTTGATTCTGAGGCTGCTCACTGAAGGTGGCGTGCATGCGGGGCTATGTCACTCACGGTTCCCTATTGCAACAACCTACTCTTCTTTTATCTTTTTACACTTCTTTAAATAAAAATTCAGATTTGAACTTCTTTAATATTTCTCATTTCTTTCTATTTGTTCTTTAACTTTAATGTTCATTAATGCTCTTTAATGCTTTTATGAGTATGTATGCATGTAGATGGGCTCATGCTTATTATTCTTTCTAAATTCACATGTTTGGATGCAATAATGCAATATGAAATGTGAACATATCCTTCTCTACCATCTACAAACTCATCTCAAGATAACAATTAATCATACTCATACATGTATTTCTCTTTGACATTTCATCAAACAATTTATATGCACACATCAACTCTAATTTGGCTACACTTCTACCTCTCTTCTAAGCCACCAAAATTTTGAATAAAACACACCAAGATTAACATCAAACTTGTCCAAGATTCCCTTTACATGCATGCAAAGGATTCAATGAAACGCCTCATAAAGAAATAACACTATGCCTAAGAGTTACAGGGAGAAATAAAACGAGAGTTACAGGGAGAAATAAAACGACTATACTTTGTTTCGCCGTATTGTACAAGAACTTTTTCTAAATTATTTTCACTATTCTCAAAAAATAATTAATGAATTTATAAAATAATGGTCCCCAAATAGTGTGGGGAGAGTCACACCGTCATAGAATATCCCTTTGGTGTAGTGCATGCATGAATGTATATTAAATATTTATTATATATCTATTTTGCTTTTATTAAATTATAATTAATTAATTAATCATCGTTTATTTATTTAAAAAAAAAAACAATAAAAGTTCAATTATTATTTTAAATTAAAAGTGTAAATTTATTTATTAATTAAATATCATATTAAATATTTATATATTACAACAATATCATTTAAATTATCTCAAAATTAGGGTATTGGTAAAATTAGACTTATTATTATTATTATTATTAT